TTATTTGCTAAACTGTGCCAAATTAGTGCGTCTGAGCATAAAGTAAAGCTCCGGAGTGTGATTGATGTAATTGCTACTAGCCAGTCATTGTGTTTACAACTGAATCCTAGCCCCAGCTGGTACAGAGGAAACCTATTAGCACATAACTGGTGAATAATACAAGGCTAACCAGAGCTTCAAAGAAAAAATACATGCTTCAACAACATATATTCCTTTATTCTCTAATTGTTATACGTGGCATACAGTGATGACAATGGCATTTGGTAAATTACAACAATCAGGAGAATCCATGTGCTCAAATTTGCTTGGACTGTAAAGATAGATCTTTCCATATAACCACTCAGAGGTGATATTAAAAAAGTGGCCAGAGAGAGAGCAGGTAGTAGCTGCATGAGATTTTATGTGCTGTGTGATCTGAATGAGGACTAGGACAGTGTCCTGAAAGATCACACCGAAAGAGTAAATAGCTAGGCTTTTTATTTATTTATATTTTACTAATCTGTCTGTAGATGAGGCAGGAAGGAAAGAGAGAGTGATAGAGTTTAAAAACTATCAGAAAGCATGAAAATGATGAAGGCAGTGTTTAAATTGCCCTTAAAAAATAATAACAAATTAATATGGCACTAACTGACTGTCTCTAATTACACCTTGAGAACCACATGAAAGATCAGCGTGATGAGCAAATAATTTTCTGGGGTCTCCAGAGCAGTTGTGTTAATGTCCACATAATGGTTCTTGGTATATGTCAATAGCATTACCATTCCCTGACTTGCAAAAGGATACTCCTAAGCACAACAAGGCACCTGCTAGTGGCCTCATACTTATGCTGTGGTGCTCAGTATGAGCACTGCTTAACAGGGGTGATGAAATAGTTTTATTCACTGAGGGCCTACTGTCTGGCAAACAATGTAAAATACACTCTAGGAAAATTGTTCAACTTATCCCACAAGTCAGTGACTCCCAAGGAACAGATGGGTAAAATAAAGACTGAAGAATATGCTTAAGAACTGAAGAGTCAATAATTTGGGTTCGAATAACTCAGATGGGGTTTAAGTTGAGGTTGAAAGATATTTGCAATCTAACATTGGAAGCAAGTTATGCCTTGTTATTCTTTTCATATGTTCTTCTTATTTACTCAGCTCCTCTACATTTATCATGATTACATGGGAAGTGAAAGGGATTTGATTTTTGGAGAAAACTGAAATTCTTGGCAGTTTTCGATTAGATAGATATTAATTAGGACCATCCACTTGCCCTTCTAATTTATAGAACTAAATGTGTTCCTCCTGCATGCAAACCTTCAAAACGTTAGTTCTTATGAATGAAGCCACATATCTACTTTTATCTCTTTATAGTCATCCACTAATCTTATATTCAAATTATAAACAAAACAAATGTCACTTAATTATTAGTTTCTACTGTACTGAAAGTTTTATGTTAATAAAAACAGAAATAAGAAAGAGCTCATTAAATATATTCTTTGAGGCTATACATCAAGATTCAAAATAGTAATCAGGAATTTTATTTAAAAGGTCTATATCCTCAGGTCATAATTAAAAACATGTTTGTTATACATTTTCATAGAAAATAATTCCTCAAGTGTTTTGTTTTCTGATTATAAAAGTCAAACAGGACAAGTGAATTCGGAGCACTTATTAAACACATTCGACTTAGAGAATAAATCATGAAATGGGATGGCCAGTGTGAGGAATCCATGTTCTGTTCTGGAAAACTTTTAAATACTATGAAAGCAAACTGAACAGGAGAGCTCACAAGATTATGGTCACAAATGGATTTACAAATAAAAGAGTAAAATGATTTATTTTAAAGTTGGTTAAAAAATGTATGCAGAATGTTAACTAAATAAAGAATTGTGTGAATAATGGATTTTTATCCAAGACTGGAAGAAAAAAGTGTTCACATTTAATTCAAAATTAATAAATAATGTGGAAATAACCAAAATAGTGCTTCTTTCTTTAATTTTTGTCTTTCTTTTTTATTTATTTTTAAAATTTCATTTACATTCCCACGACAGTTCTCACTCCCATGCCTCCTCTTGCCCGATACCTCCCCCCATCTCCCTTCCAGCTCATCCACAGTCCACTGCTCCTTAAGGGTAAGGACTCCCATAAGGACACAACATAATCTGACACAATAGGCTGCGGCAGAACCAAGTCCCTCTCTCAGGTTAAGGCTGAGCATGGCATCCCACCCTATAGAATGGGCTACAACAAGCTAGCTCATGTACCAGGTTTGTATCCTGGTCCTACTGCCATGAACCCCTCAGCTAGTCCAAACTTCAAAAATGCCTCCCACATATGGAGGGCCTAGTCCATTCCTCTGGAGTCTCCACAGTTGTAGGTCTAGAGTTCATGAGTTTCCAATAGCTTGGTTTAGCTATAACTATAGATTTCTCCTTCATGGTCTTTACCTGTCTTGCTCATATAGCCCATCCTTCCTCTCTTCAACTGGATTCTTGGAGCTCTGCCTGGATCTTGGTTGTGAATCTCTGCATTTAGTTCCATCACTTGCTGGATGATGGCTCAATGATGATACCTGGGTTATTCACCAGTCTCATTGCTAGTTAGGTCAGCTCGGGCCTACTCTCCACTATTGCTAGCAGTGTTAGCAGCAATCCTCTTGGGGGGATGCAATGGAAGAGCAATGAAAGAGATGTCTTAATAGAGAGAGCCACTATGGGCATAGGGAGAAATCTGGTACTAGGGCAACTATGAATAATACTTCATAAAAGGATCAGTATTTGCCCTAGTACATGAATGGACTTTGTAAGTAAGTCCACTCCAAATAGAAGGATACTCTCGCAGCTAGACACACGGGGGAGGGACTAGGCTCTGCTCCAAATGATATGACAGACTTGGAAGATGTCCTCTGGAAGGCCTCACCTTCCCTGCAGAGCAGAAAGAGGATGGGAGAGGGGTTCAGTGGGGAAAACGGGAGGGAACTGGGATTGACATGTAAAACAAGTTTGTTTCTAATTTAAATAAAAAAGGGAAAACCAATAAAGTAAAAAGTACCCCAGATGAGAAAAAAGAGCAGAAATTATCTGCACCCTATTTCTTTGACCCTTTTGAGGAACCCTTTGTTCTTAAGACAAGATATAGTTTGGCTTGTTCCCCTCTGCAAAGAGAAGACTGTCAGGTCATGGCATTCATCTGAGCACAGCACTTGGGTGGGAATAGGCGATACACTTCAAGGCACACCACTTGCACACATTGGTTAAGACCTAAGAAGTAAGTTAACTTCAAAACCAACTCTTGCTAATCCCAAACATCAATTCAAGCTTGTGTCTAACCACAATGACAATGGTATAATAACCTATATTAAAAACCTACAATTTTTAGTTAGAGAAAGCTTGGTAAAATGCCAGAGTCACACACTGCCTTCTGAATTTGCTGTCCCTGTGTCTGGTGTGGGATCTGAGCACATGCATCCTCATCTTCCCAAGTGGCAAAAAGATGCTTGTAGGAGTGAACCCCACAAAGCTATCTGCCCATCAGGGCGGGGTCAAGGTAGAGATAAAAGGAAGTGAAAGGAAAAGGGGCTTCCCTTTTTCTCCTGGAAGCCAGCCACACTTCTAACTCCTGGTCTGTGCGACTCTCTCTCTCTCTGGTAAATAAATATATTGTTTTCCCTATATAGCATCGAATATCGTTATAGATGCTGAGTTTTTGAGAATATTAAGCACAGAATTCTACCAGAGAGCATCTCTATATATGAATAACAAAACATGAAATGCTTATTTTTTGTAAGCTAAATACATTTAGTTGCGAAGAAACTTCCATAATTCAAAAGCAGAATTTTGGATGTTGTAGATATAAATATGGCTGCTATCATAAGCTTACTCTAGGTGTGTTCAGTGAGGGAAGAGTAAGGATTATACCAGCTACATATTTGAAAGAAAGAGTGTAAAATTTTATTTCAAGTGGGTGTATTGGAAAAATGATGAACGAGGACTTTATGTCTGAGAAAACAGTTTGAGGATGACACTAAAAATCATTAAAATTCCAATATTGAGAATTTTAAATAACAACTTTTCAGTCAGCTATGGCTTACAGATTCTGCTTCTTTATAAAAATAAGTATACCATCTTAAATTAAGACCTTCAAAATAAGTTGAGAAATAAATACAGACAAGAAGAAGAATAGGGTGCTGGGCTGTTTAATGAAATTTAGGATCAGCACTAACATTATGAAATCAGTTAAAAAACATGCATCTTTTGGAAAAGACAGAACTGAGGAAGATATGATCATTCTATAATGAACTTTTAAACTAATTATGTTTAAAAAGTATTTCCTTCACATAAAAAGGTTATACAACCACATGATGTTCTTCAGTAATTTCTCTTTACATCTTGATTTAGATATGATAGCCTCATACTCTTAGAATTACGTCTAAATATTTGGCATTTTTCATTATGGCCAAATACTCCAGTGTCAGAGCAGAAACGTGCAATAAAATGATGAGATACTTTGATATCTCTCAAAAGAAAATGGGGCTTTGCAGCTTTCATGTGCATAGCTTCACTCATGCGTCAGGGTTGCCAATGTAGGTGAAGGTCTAGTAGCTGAAAACACAGTTTGACAAGGTATAAAATATAAGGAGAACTGGTTTGATCATTAAACACTGTATGCTCTGATTGCAACTTCTGGGCCCATGCTAAAGAACATGAGTTCTGAGGTTTCAACACTGCAGCTAATGAGACAACTGTGGTTTTCCTCAGGCCTGTTCTCTGCATTGTACTCTGGACCTGTGTTTATATATGCAATCCATTCTGGTTTTTTTGTAAGCATAGTCTTTAGTTCATGTGTGTAATTATGTGTTTTAGGCTCTGAACTTCTCAACTCTAGCATAACATCTTGGCCATCGTACTAACCAGGCCACTCATTGGCAACATATTAGATCACAATCAACTGTGCAAGGTTAGGATAGGGAGGAAGAAAAATTTTATTAGGTTAGTTTTTGCTTAAAAATAATTGGTAATATCTAGCAGGGGAAATACCATAGTCACAAAGATATTTTCCCCATGGGGAGGCTTAGCCATTGCACTCTGGGTGTGCTGACCCCTGTGATGTCCCCAAGTGCTAGAAACTTGACTGCATAATTTTTGGTAGTGGGGGACTGCATTTGTGTTCTTCCCTGTTTAAAACAATAATGACGATGATAATAAATAGTGTGTAGACTCATGGGGAAAAGAGGTCGTCAGTGAGAAACTGGATGTGCAAGAGGCCCAAAGAAGGAAGGACGTTGAAAATTGGCAAAAATTTCCTAAGCTGCCAGCCTTTAAGTATTCAGTGCTGTGCACAGCTGTCACTCTTTTTTATTGATCCAGAAGTTATGCCCAGAGTGTACTAGAGCAAATACCTGGAGCTTGTCACACACCATCCCTAGACCCTCCTCTGGAATTCTGAGTCTGGGGGCTCAGAAATAACACTGGTATCTCAGTGACAGTCTAGAGACATGGTTTTTAAAAGTAGTTTTATTGTGAGAAAATTCCTAACCCTAGGGAATCACAGTTATATTCTTTTCACTGTTATCATTCCCACAAATCCTTATATTTGATTTTTGAAGCCCAAAACCAACAATTTCATATGAAAACAAACACATCTGTGTGAAAACCCTGTCTGCTTCTTCATTCTGTGACAACAGAGGCTATAAGAGAGTAAAAGGGTATGTTGGGACAGATTATAGCATTTGCTTGGATTCCCCTATAGCACAGTAGGTTGCTGACATAATGTTGGATGTCAATTTTAAACTTGGACTGTGAAGTTGCTTAAAGGCAAGGTGATGTACTGTTTTCTCTCACATGAAACCATCTCTGTGATGCAGGAAGGAAAGTGATTTTATTTTCTTCATTAAATTCCTGATAAGTATCACTGTGGCTTCATTATTGGCCTTCTATTTTTCAGACTATAAGCATTTTTGCTGTCATGACTTGACAATTCCATCTTATGGGAAACAAGATGCATCCCCTGCTTATTAGCTAATAGTGTCATCTTGAGCTTCTTGTTTTATAAAAGAACTTGGCATATAGTGACTTCACTAGATCAAAAAGAAACTGCAGTGTTGAAAAGACTCATAGCCCTAAGTAGATTTAAATTTTGTAATGAAGTAACCCTCTGTTATAAAATATTTACTTTGTTTAAAAGAGCAAATGAGTAGCTAAAATGGCTTTTTATGTGGAAATTTCAAAACCATCAAATAGAAGCAAGGAGAAACAAAGTAAGATTTGCATTTTTTTCCCTCAGTTGTTTTTAAGTTGAAAGGCTGACTGAAATCCGGCATCCCACATTAAAGCACCAATCTCCTGCAGAGTGGATGAATTTGTGATAAATGGTCCCTCGAGCTTTATAAAACATATTCTCCATAAAACAAGCCACAATATGTTTCTTCACATTACTCAGCCTCTGACACCCAAGCTGCAGCAGCCAGTCCAGTGTTGGTACCTGCCATCACCTAGCTGTAAACAACTGTGTGTTTATTGCAGCAAAGCTAGTACATCCATTTTAAGGTTTGCAGCAGTGAAAGGCTGACTGCCTACATAAACTGGAGTGGGCTGCAGTGTTGTTGTTTTGTTTACTGCTCTTTTATTGTAGTGGTCAAATAGTTCCTTTGAGACCAGACAATAGTTTTCTACCATCTGTACAGTCAATGTCAGAGAACTTGTATGAACTGAAGCACTGTGGAAAATATTTGTAATGAGAAGACTAATTAAGTGAAATTAAAGAAGAAACACAGATGACTAATATCAGATCAAAATAATCTCCTCTTCCTCCTCTTTTGCTTCCTCCTCCTCTTTACTGGTAACATTTGCTAGGGGCTTGATGGGTGAGAATACTATCTCCTATCCCTTAATGATCAGTTACACAGAACTAGTACCTTGTTGTGTTAAATGTTTACATATCCACTCATGAAATTTATGTCTAGATAATTCTGAATAATTTAACCACACATTTAGACCTAAGTGTTATAAATGCTCAAAAAAAACCTAATACCAAAATGCTTTTGCTTACAATTATGTTACCTGAATTAGCATGATTAAAGACAAAATTACAATACAAAGTTATATAGCTGTTTTAAAAGGAAGTGATTTATTGAGAAAGTTAATAATGGATGAGATAATATGTCTTCGTTATGGTAAAAAATCATTGCATTTTAGTTAAAAGAGAAAGATTTCTTTAAAATGTTTGTGCTGTATTTTATGTATTGAATTTGAAAGTAGTACACATGGGCACATTATAAATATATTTTTAGAACTCTCATATTAAAATTTAAAAGGTTTGTCTAAATAAAGGAAGATTTTTAACTTCTATTTCACAGCATAGACTTGGCATGACTTTAAGTCATTTGCTGAGGGGAAAGCCTTTCCTTTACACATTGAAAAACTCTCTAAATTGCTTTCAAATAAATTTCACAGTGCATATGAGATTAAGATTAACATAGATTTCACAATTTATTAAAAATAAAATTTCACTTATAAATTTTCGGGCAAATTCTAATTAAGCAACTTTAACTTCAAACGCTTCTATGGACTCTGGGAGATTATTCCACATGGAGGGATGCTCTCTCAGCCTGGACACATGTGGGAGGACCAAGGCCCTACCTGGAATGATATGAAAATCCCTCATGGAAGGCCTTTCCCTCCCTGGGGAGCAGAAGTGGGGATAGGGTGAGGGGTTGGGGGAACTGGGAGATACGGAAGGAGGGGAGGGAGAGGGAACTGGGAGCAACATGTGTAAAAAGTTAAATAAAAATATTATTATTAAAAAATAAATAAAACCAAACAAAATACATATTATGAGTGGCAACTTTGAGAGAATTATAAATACTACATATAAATATGTCTTCTATTTTCCCATTTGTCCACAATAAATTAATATTTATAAAAGTTTTGAAAATATTGCAAAGTTACTGATGTTAATAGTATATATAATATTGGAGAGTATGAATTTAAAATAAATCAATCAAGATCAATCATGACTATATAACATCTGTGTTATTATACTATCACAGATTATAAAGATAATCTGGTGATTCTATAACAGTGTTTATTCTGACTGCTATAATGGCATGAACATACACATTTTTGAATAAATAAAACCTGATTAAGTCTGAAAAAAAAGAAAAGTCATGCAATTTTGTGTACCCTTACATGCTTAGAAACATATTATTTTTAAAATATATAGATGGAATTACATATAAAATGCAGCTTTCAAACACTGATGGAAGCACAGTATTTAGTATTCGTGGTGGTGAATGTTAGCATCTGGCTTAGAACAAGAAATACACAGGGCATCCAAAGGTACAACTTTGTATTTGTCTGCAAGGGGGTTTCTTTGGGAAGTTTAACTAAGAACAGAGTACACACCCAACTTGAACTCAGGTTGTGGATATGTTGCATCATCCTATTGTATGGGGTCTTGGGCTGAATAAGAAGAGTGAGGGAAAATGCCTGGTAGAAGCAAACAATCATTTTGCTCTTGGTAAGTGCTTAATTTTCCATCTTTTTTCCAAGCCATAATGAACGATGTGCCTTGAACCATTAATAAAATAACACTCTGGTCCTTTAAGTTGATTTGCCAAGTATTTGGTCGCATCATGCGAAAATTAACTGGGGCCATTTGAGTCTATACAAGTCTATCAATTTTAGTAAAAATCATCAGTGACATGGTATTTATGTAGTTGCTTCTATGGGAGGTACAAGAGGAATTTGTATGTGTTGATTTCAAATGTCTGTGATCCTGTACAGCTTATTATAATTATTGCTTTTACAAATAGGACTCATATGTACACACTGAGTTTTAGTGTTACTGAAAGAACCCACAGTCCTGATATTTTCTTGTCAAAATAGACTTATTCCAAAATAATAGAATACATTCATAGAAGTGGGAACTAATAACAAAAGACTAAAGTATCTATCACACGTTTGTAAATAATATACTCTCAAATTTTACAAGAAAAGACACAATAGTAACTCTTTTATTCTTTTTAGCGGGTAATAATTTCTTAATAAATTAGCAACATATTCATGTATAGATGGATGTATATCCAAGAATTTACGTAAGATTTGAATGGCTGAATGATCAACAATAAGTGAAAACTTTCAGGTGTGTGATACTTGATCATGAAGCTACATACTAAGTAAAAATGTAAAATATTATCTATCAGGTACTTCTAATTTTGTGAAGTAATAAACTGGCTATTTAGATGAGATTGGGCATGAGGGTGATATAACTTTAGATAGAATTTGCTATTTAGCAAAAAAGTTATTGATACAGTAATTTCAATTTTAAAATAGCATGTATTTCATTCAAGGAATTTCCAAATCACTACAGTGAACTCCAGAAGAGATATGAAAAAGGAATACAAACACTTCACATCATTGGAGAAGTCCATCTTCAAATTATTAAGTAAAATGAATGATGTGTATAATATACAATACAGCATCAATACTGATACTTCTTATTACTTCTTAAGGTAGTCAATATTTTCCAAAAATAATTAGGAAATATGGTTAGGTCAACTACACAATTTTGAAAATGCAAGTTAGTTAATAGCTTGACTAACTTGGAGAATAATGTGAGACAGTTACAGTTAATTGTAGTTGGAGGATTTTCTTTTCCTACCCTCCAGTTCCCAAATAACCTCTCTAAGGCTTAATATTAATTAAAATTGCTTGGAAGATGGTTCAGGCTTCTTACTGGCTAGTTCTACATATAACCTAACCAATTTCTAATATTCTGTACCATGATGTCTCATGGCTTGTTACCTCACTTACCTGGTGACTACATGGAGTCTCTCTGACTCTGCCTTTCTTCTCTTCATATCTTTGCTTGAATTTCCTGCATGGCCCTTTTCTGCTTGGCCATTGTTCAAATGAGTATTATTTATCAACCAATAAAGCCAAAACATATTGTCAGCATACAGAAGGACAGCCCACATCATATCTGTCAGTAGAGCATGAGATTTTTTTAATATCAGAGTCATGGGTTTGAGCCTCATTTTAGGCACCAGTATATAGCATGAGTTCTAATAAGTCTTAATAATAAAAGCTTAGAGTTAAGTATAGCAGAAAATTCTGAGAGAAGAGAAAGATGGAGGAACAAAAACACGGGAATCTTACCTACTCAACTGCCCAACTG